ATTCTTGAGATGAAGTAAAAGTATTTTTTAATCTTAACATGAAAATAACTTTGCACACGGATTATTCAAAGCAAATTCTCAATGTATTCATGGAAAAATCTTTATTTTAATTTATTAAAAATACTTCACTAAAAAAATAGGATTTTTTGTATGTGAAATACTTATAATGTTAACTGAACAACAGCCAAATTTTGTGAACATATTACACACTATATTGAAATTTAGAAGTATTAAATCTATAAAGAATTTAAATGAGTACAAACAGGTCATGTGATCAGTCAAATTGACCGAGCCCATGTTGAGAGTTAAAATGCATAACTCAAAGGTTTAAACATTTTCTAAATATACATCATATTTTGTGTCAAATCTCAAAGTTTATAATATTATGTGGTATATAAAAATTTTGCAAAGGAAAAGAAACTGTAATACACCTTGACCTGTGTTGAGATAAATAATAAGTGGTAAAGGACAAGAAAAGAAAATTAAAAATAAACTATATATGAAAAGGAAAGGACCTGAAATTAAGAATTTAACAAAAAATTTTTTTTAACGATATTCTACAAAAAACTAAAAGGTATGTGTTTTTTCTTCTATTTCCTAGTTTTAATTATTTCATTCCATTGTACATTGATGATAACAGCTAAAGTTAGTTATGTGGTAGAGAAAATGAAATATAAACATTTACCTTAAAAATGACTTGATAATTGTTTAGGTGGTTCTAGAGATTATGCAAATGAAATATGAAAACTATAATAGGAAGAAAAGTATTTTTATACTTAAAATAAAAATCACCTGCATTTGATTTGTTAAGAGTTTGAGTTCAAGTAACTAAATAAATAACATATATTTAGTAAAAACACTTAATTAAAATAATGTCATTCTTTGTGTACAAGGTACTTATGATCTTTGATAAAATCTTACCAATTTTTAGAGGAGACATTAAGAAATGTCAGAGTTATCATATGTATTGTTGCACAAGTGAAATTCGTGACATGTTTTCTGCAAATTAGAGGAGCCACATGCGAAAGGGTTAAAAATGATGGACTAAAATTAGCT